CCCGTGCAGGAAATTGTCCCCGTGGTTGGGTGAGATCCCCATGGCCAAGAGGGTCCCCATGGCAGGGAGTGTCCCCGAGGTGGATGGGGTCCCCCACAGCAGGGAAGGGTCCCCATGGCTAGGAGGGTTTCCCAAGGTAGCCCCAGAATAGCTGTGTATTGCCCCAGATGTTGCGGGGCAGCTGGGCCGGGGTTTGGCCACATCACGGGTGACAGGAGCCCTCCTGCGGGCCCCCGGGGACGAGCCGCTCAGGGTATTTATTGTCCCCAAGGCTCAGCTCCAGCTCCCTGGGACCCTCACCTAATACCCTGCCTCAGTTTCCCCACACAACGGTGCTGCCCACAGCGCTGTCGGCTTGGTGCCCTGCTGACCCCATAGCAGCTCGGGACAGAGCTGCCCGTGAGGCGCGGGCAGGAGGAGCGGGTGCCTGGAAAGGTCAGGGCGTGCCTGCCAGGGTGGCTGGGCCCAATCCTGCGTGGGTGCAGCAGGCAGGGCAGGAGCTGGCTCTGTGCCATGGAGGGAGGGCTTTGCTCCCGCCGCCGTACTGGCCCACGTGTGGCTTTGGACATGCAGCCGTGTGCCTGGAGCTGCATGGCTCGGTGCGGCCGTGTGTCTGCTGCAGCTCTGCGTGTCCGTGCGACCCTGTGTCTGTGCGTCCATGGGTCTGTGCACCCATATGCTTGTGCACCTGTACATCCATGTGCCTGTGTGTCTGTGTCCTTGCATCAGTGCATCCATGCATTCATCTGTCCCTGCATCTCTATATCCGTGCATCCATGTGTCCATGTATCAGTGCATCCCTATGTCCGTGCATCCCTATGTCCATGCATCCGTGTATCCATGCATCCATACACTTGTGCACCTGTGACCCCACGTGCCTGTGTGTCCGAGCATCCGTGCGTCTGTGCACTTGTGTGCCCATGTGCCTCTATCCATACATCCATACGCTTGTGCATCCATGCATCCGTGTGTCTGTATCCGCCCTCTGAAGATGCTCTCGATTCTGCACCGCGGGCAGGATGTGACCGCGCAGGAGGTGGTGGCAGATGGTGGCCGCGTCCCCGGGGCCGTGGCTGGCTCTGGATGTCCCTGCTCGGCCCCAAACCTGACGTTTCCCAGCCCAGGAGCAGCATCTCCAGCCGGAGTGGGGACACGGGCACAGGGGGTGTTCTTACGGAGTGGCTGCCAAAACAAAAAGAGAGGAAATAACTGCTCTTTGGAGAATAGACGGAAAAGTCTTGGCTCCTCTGTGAGCCTGGGCGTGGGCCTGTGGGTCCCCCGAGGCCACCCCGTCAGCGTGCCCAGCCTGACCTTTGCTGCCGGCACCAGCCCGGCACTCCCCACGCGTGATTTGGGCAGCTTTGCTGGGATTTAGCAACTGGGCTGTGCCGTGCGAGCAGGGCTCTGCCACCGCGCTGTGGTGCCCTGTCCCCCCCAGCCAGCCACGTGGTGCCCCAAAGGGGCCCGATGGCAGTGGCTTGTCCTGTCTCTTCTCTCCTGTCTGTCCTGTCCCATTCCATCCATCCCTTCCCATCCCATCCCATCCCATCCCATCCAATCCCATCCTGTCTGCCCTGTCCCATCATGTCTGTCCCATCATGTTCCATCCTGTCCCGTCCCATCCGGCCCCATCTCATCCCATCTGCCCTGTCCCACCCTGTCCCATCCCATTCTGTCCTGTCTGCCACGTCCCATCACGTTTGTCCCATCCCATCCCATCGCATCTGTCCTGTCCCATCCTGTCTGTCCCATCAGGTCCCATCCTGCCCTGTCTGCCCTGTCCTGTCCCGTCCCGTGATATCCCATCTGGTGCCATCCCATCCCATCCTGTGCCATCCAATCCCATCCTGTCCTGTCCCATCCTGCCATGTTTGTCCCGCCCGACTCTGTCCCATCCAGTCCTGTCTGCCCCACCCTCTCCTGTCCCATCCTACCTGTCCCATCTTGTCCTGTCGTGTCCTATCTGTACTGTCACATCTTGTCATATGTGTCCCATCTTATCCCATCCCATCGCCCTCTTCTGTCCATCCCATCCTGTCCTGTCCCATGCCGTGCCACTCTGTCCCATCCCATCCCATCCCATCCCATCCCATCCCATCCCATCCCATCCCATCCCATCCCATCCCATCCCATCCCATCCCATCCCATCCCATCCCATCCCATCCCATCCCATCCCATCCCATCCCATCGCATCATGTCTGTCCTGTCCCATCTGTCCCATCCTGTCCTGTCTGTCCCATGCCATGCCATCCCATCCCATGGGATGTGCAGGGGTGTACACATGCAGGTGTGCATACAGATGTGCACCGAGCCCCCCCACACTCCCACCCAGTACCCCCAGTACACCCTCAGAGCCTCCAGTACCTCCCAGTGCTCCCCAGTACCTCCCCGATAGCTGCGCAGGGTGCCCACGGGCTGGTCCCCCGCAGGCCTGACGGAGGACGAGGACATCCAGCGGATGCTGCGGGGCTCCCTGCTCCGGAAGATCAAGTCCCGGCGGGGTCCCAGGGAGCGGCTGTTCCGCCTGCAGGAGGACGGGGCGACCATCTGCTTCGAGGGGCGCTTCGGACGCGCTCGCTCCCAGCAGAGCTGTGAGTGCCGGTGCTGGGGACTGTCCCCCGGGGGCTCAGGGACACTCAGGACATCCTGCACAGCCTCGAGCTGCAGGGAGGGGTTGGGACCTGGTCAGTGCCCCAAACCTGCCCGTGGGGACTTGGGCATGAGCCGGGACCCAGACCCCCATCCAGACCCCCACCTGGGACCCAGACCCCAACCCAGGACCCAGATCCCAACCCAGGACCTAGCCCACAACCTGGGACCCAGACCCCCACCCAGAACCGGGACTCCAACCCGAGACCCAGACCCCCACCCAGCACTCCCACCCGGGACCCAGACCCCAGCCCGGGACCCAGGTCCTTACCTGGGCCCCCACCTGGGACCCAGACGCCACCCCAGGACCTGGACCCCCACCCAGAACCCAGACCCCAGCCCAGGACCCAGATCCCAACCCAGGACCCAGACCCCCACCCAGGACCCAGACCCCAATCTGGGACCCAGGACACCAACCCCCATCTGGGACCTGGATCTCAACCCAGGACCCAGCCCCCAACCCAGGACCCGGACCCCCACGTGCGAACCAGACCCCCACCCAGGACCCAGACCCCTGCCTGGATCCCCACCTGGGACCTGGACCCCCACCTGGGACCCAGACACCAGCCCAGCGCTCAGACCCCAATCCAGGACCCAGACCCCCACCCAGGACCCAGACCCCAATCCAGGACCTGCACCCCCAGCCTGGGACCCAGACCCTGACCTGAGATGTGGACCCCAGTCCAGGACCTGGATCCCCCCCAGGACCCGGACCCCAACCCACTGCACCCAGTGCCTCCCAGTGCTTTCCAGTGCTTCCCAGTGCACCCCATTACATCCCAGTGCACCCAGTGCCTCCCAGTGCACCCCAGGCCGAGCCCCCAGAGCCCACACCCTTCCCTGTTCCCCATGGGACCAGCACGAGGTCCCGTCTCCATCCCAGCCAGACTCTGTCCCTGCTCCCTGGCATCACCCGTCTCTTTCCACCCTCTCATCTGGGATGGGTGCCCGGAGCTGGCGCCGCTGCAAGACAGCTCCATCCCCCGCTGGCGTCCCAGTCCCCATCCCCGCAGGGGACAGTGGCCACGGCTCCTGTCTCGCCTGGGATTAGTGGGTTAAGCCCGGCTGCAGCATAAACAGGAGCTGAGCCTCAGTCCCCTGGGGTGCCCCTGGGGACGCGTAGGGTGTCCATCAGCAGCCAGGATCTCTTGCAGGATTGCTCATGGGTGAGGGAAAAGCCGAGGGACCACCTCCATCCCCGGGGTGGCCCCATCACCGCGCGTGTTCCTGCAGTCTTGGTGATGAACATCGAGGGGGTACGCGAGGGACGCCAGTCAGAGGGTCTACGCAAGTACGGTGCTGACTTCCCCGAGCGGCACTGCTTCACCCTCGTCTTCAAGGGCAAGCGCAAGAACCTCGACCTGGCCGCCCGGGGCGAGGAAGATGCCCGCCACTGGGTGCAAGGGCTCACCAAGCTGATGGGGCGGCTGCAAGCCATGAGTCAATCAGAGAAGCTCGACCAATATCCTTTGTCGGAGCTATGGGGGCTTGGGGACAGGTTGGGGACGGCTGTGGGGGTGACGCTGGGTGGTTTCCTTACCCCAGCGTAGCTGGATCCATGGGGTCCTGCAGCGAGCAGACAGTAACAAGGACAACAAGATGTCCTTCCGGGAGGTGAAGAGCATGCTGAGGATGATCAACATTGACATGGATGATGTCTACGCCTACAAGCTCTTCAAGGTACCCGTCCTGTGCTCTATCACCCGCTGTCCCCCACTGCTGTCACCTTCTGCTGGTGACATCTTCACTGCTGGCTCCTTCTCTGCCTTCCCAAGTGCAGAGAACTGTCAAACTCATCACACTCAAAGCCACCCACCATCACCAATGGTTGACTACCGCCAATGGTGGGGTGAGCTGTCCTGCCCAGTGCTCTGTGGGTCCTCGAGGTGTGACATTTTCCCCCCATGGGGTGCTGTCCCCATGGGCATCTCCCAAGGTCCCTTTCCACTTGGGAAACTGAGGCACGGCGCTCTGCTCTGCTGCACCCCAGACTGGAGGATCAGAGGCCTATGGGTGGAGGGACAGAGGGGACATGCCCCCACACCCCCCCTAGGCACAACCCATCCCCGAGCCCTCATGCCAGTAGCTGAGCCCCCCCAAACTCATCACACATTCTGCCAACCCCAAGGGACAGGCAGGACGAGGCAGGGGGTGGCCGTACCCCCTCCCCATGGGCAGGGGACGGTCCCTGAGGTTGGGCTGTGGTCCCACCAGGAGTGCGACCGCTCGGGCAACGAGCGGCTGGAGGGCTGGGAGCTGGAGGAGTTTTGCCGACGGCTGCTGCGGCGGCCAGAGCTGGAGGAGCTTTTTGGGCGTTACTCGGGCGAGGACCGTGTCCTGTCGGCCGAGGAGCTGCGGGATTTCCTACGGGATCAGGGCGAGGACGCCAGCCTGCGCCAGGCCTGCGCTCTCATCCGCACCTACGAGCTCAACGAGAAGGGTAGGGCTGAGGACAGCCAGCTCGGGTGGTGGTGGGATGGTGAGATGGGTGCTGCCGGAGCCAAGGGAGGTCGTGGATGGCGCGGGGATGGGGCTCTGCTTGGTGGTGTCACCTCCCAAGCTGGTATGGCGTCCTCCAAGGCTTGGGTGAGTGTCCCTGTGTCCCTTCCCCAGGATGGCACCAGGTGTCAGCAGTCCAACACGTGGCCTTGCTGGTCCCTGGTGGCACAGGGGATGTGAAGGTGGGGGTGGACAGCAGGTGGACCTCCATGTCTCCTGGGTGATGCAGTGCCCAGCCCTAGCATGAATGTGACACTGCCGGGGGGACCTCCATGTCCCTTGGGTCCCACCATAGCAGGTCCAGGGTGAACATGGCACTAGGAAGACAGGGGACATCATGGTGAGGATGAAGGACCTCCACGTCTCTTGGGTATCACAGTACTACCCCTAGGGTAGATGTGGCACTAGCAGGATGGGGGACATCAGGGTGGAGATGGGACACCAAGGGGACTTCCACATCCCCTGGGTGCCACAGTGCCAGGTCTGGGGTGAACATGGCACTATGAGGACAGAGGACATCAGGGTGGGGACAGGGAACCTCCACATCTCATGGGTGCCACCGTGCCAGGTCCAGGGTGAACGTAGCACTAGCAGGATGAGTGACACCAGGATGGAAATGGGGCACTCAAGGGAACTTACATGTCCCCTGGGTGTCGCAGTGCCAGGTCTGGGGTGAACATGGCACTGCTGGGAGACAGGGGACATCCAGGTGGGGACAGTCCCCGGGGTGCCACCCTGTCAGCGGTGTGCCAGCCCTCTGCGACACCCCGCCGCTGTGTCCTGCAGCCAGGCAGCAGGACCTGATGATGCTGGACGGCTTCATGATGTACCTCCTCTCAGCCGCCGGTGACATCCTCAACCAGGAACACACCAAGGTGCACCAGGACATGAGCCAGCCCCTGTGCCACTACTTCATCTCCTCCTCACACAACACCTACCTGACCCGCAACCAGATCGGTGGCACCAGCAGCACCGAAGCCTATGTCAGGTGGGTGCCCCTGGTCAGATGCTCCATGCCTGGATGGTCCCATGGTTCGAGGGTGCTGGGGCAGCGCAGGGACTCATCCAGTGATGGTGCGGTGACAGGGCGCTGATGGCGGGATGCCGTTGCGTGGAGCTGGACTGCTGGGAGGGCTCTGATGGGGAACCCATTGTCTACCACGGCCACACGCTCACCTCCAAAATCCTCTTCCGCGATGTCATTGAGAGCATCCGCGACTATGCCTTCAAGGTGAGCAGGGTGCCGGCAGCCCTGGGACGGGTGCTGGGTGCTGGGTGCTGAGCGCTGCTCATTCCCATCCTCAGCAATCACCCTACCCCGTCATCCTGTCCCTGGAGAACCACTGTGGGCTGGAGCAGCAGGCCACCATGGCCCGGCACATGAAAGCCATCCTGGGGGACATGCTGCTGACGCAGCCGCTGGAGGGGCAGGACCCCCACGACCTCCCGTCCCCGGAGGTAAGACCACCCCCCTGCCCACCATGGTGTCCCCATGTCCCCTCCGAGCCCTGAGCTCGGCCCTTCCTCCTGCAGCAGCTGAAGGGGAAGGTCCTGGTGAAGGGCAAGAAGCTGCCAGAGCCGTGGCACGAGCCCTGTGGTGTCACCTCCCTTCCGGACCCCGAGGAGGAAGAAGAGGAGGAGGAGGAAGAGGAGGAGAAGCTGCAAGAGAGAAGCAGCCGGCAGGTAAGGGACTCTCCCAGGGCTATGGTGCTGGGGGACCACGGCGTCCTGGTGGAGGACCACGGTGTCCCAGGAGTGCTGGGGTCTGGGGCAGGTGAGCGCTGCCAGCATCCCCCGATGCAGCCCTGCTCTCTCCTCTTCCAGTCGCTGCAGTCGCTGCAGGAGATCAGACCTCTGCAGGTGGGTCGTGTGATGGAGCTGGGCGGGCTGATGGGTCGGGTACCGTGGGGGCGGCGAGCGGCTGTCACTGCCCAGCAGAGGGGACTGAGCTTGGGGACTCCTCAGCTGTGCCTCCCGCTTCCCCTGTTGGGCTGGGTGCTCCATTTCTGGGGTTTCCATCACCTCGGGGTCTCCATTGACCTTGGGAACTCCATGACCTTGGGTCTCCATCACTTTGGGGTCTCCATCACCTCCAGGGTGACCCCTCGGGGTCTCCATTGCCTTGGGGGGGGGTTGTCCATCGCCTCAGTTCTCCATTGCCTCAGGGTCTCCATCACCTTGAGGTCTCTAACATCTTGGGTTGTGCATCATCTTGGGTTCTCCATGACCTCAGGGTCTCAACCTGCTTGGGTTCTCCATCATCGCAGTGTCCATCACTCCATTGCCTCAGGTTCTCCATCGCTTTGGGGTTTCCATCACCTTGGGGTCTCCATTGCCTCAGGGTCTCCATTGCCTCAGGTTCTCCATCCCTTTGGGGGTCTCCATGGCCTTGGGGGTCTCAGCGCTCAGCACTAGCAGGGTAGGGGTGGTCTGTAGACCCTCAGGCAGGCAGATGGCCACCAGAGCCAGGGTGGCCCTGACACCATGGTGGCTCCTGCAGGCCAAGGACGCGTCACAGGTGGCCCCAGAGCTGTCGGCCGTGGTGGTGTACTGCCAGGCTGTCCCCTTCCCCGGCCTGCCCGATGCCCTGCGCCACCCCCGGCCCTGCGAGATGTCCTCCTTCAGCGAGAGGAAGGCTCGGAAGCTCATCAAGCAGGCGGGTGAGGGCGACGGGATGGGGACGGGGACAGGGACAGAGTGGCTCCATGCTCCTGACCTCACTGGGACGCAGGGTGGGGTGGAGATCGATGGGCTCTGCCACCGGGGTGGCTCCATGGGTGGCGGTTGGGGGCACGCTGGCCTCGGCTGGGCGGCTCTGGTCTGATGGGACTGGAGTCTGGTGTCAGGGTCTGGGGCCAGAGGCCAGGGTGAGGGTTACAGGTCCAGGATCAGGGTCTGGTGTAAGGGTCTGGGGTCAGGGTTTGGGATGTGGCATCTGGGTCCAGGGTCAGGTCTGGGGTCTGGGGCTGGGATTAAGATCTGGGTCAGGGTTCAGGGACTGAGGTCTGGGGTCAAGGTCTGGGGTTCGGGTTCAGGGTCCAGGGTCAGGATCTGAGGTCAGGGTCTGGGGTCAGGGTCCAGGATCCAGGGCTGAGATTAAGATCTGAGTCTGAGAACAGTGAACCCCAGGGTCAGGGGTCCAGGGTCAAGGTCAGGGGTCCAGGGTCAGGATCTGGGGTCAGGGTCTGGGGTCTAGGGTCAAGGTCTGGGATCAGGGTCAGGGTCTGGGGTCCAGGGCTGGGATTAAGATCTGGGTCAGGGTCCAGGGTCTGGGGTTTGGGTTTGGAGTCTGAGGTCCCCGGTCAGGATCTGAGGTCAGGGTCTGGGATCCAGGGTCAAGGTCCAGGTTCTAAAGTCAAGGTGTGGGGTCAAGGTCAGGATCAAGGCTCAGGGTCCGGGATCCAGGGCTCGGATTAAGAACTGGGTCAGCATCCAGGGTCTGAGGTCTGGGGTCAGGGGTCCGAGGTCAAGGTCCAGGTTCAAGGTCCAGGGTTGGGGTCTGAGCCCCAGGGTCCGGTTTCAGGGTCCGGGTCATGTTTCAGGCTCTGGGTCCACCCAGCCAGGCAGGATCCGTCCCTGTCCCCAGGCACACGGGTGCAGGCAGGGCACCGTCACCTGCTGGCAGGCCCCCGCACCGGCACCCATGGGTGCAGCGGCCCCGCTCAGCCATTCCCCCCCTCCAGGCCCGGCACTGGTCCAGTACAACGCCCAGCAGCTCAGCCGCGTCTACCCGCTGGGGCTGAAGATGAACTCCTCCAACTACAACCCCCAGGAGATGTGGAACGCTGGCTGCCAGCTGGGTGAGACCCCACGGCCCCCGGGGGACACCCCATGATCTGGCACCCCGCCCCGGAGCTGCCACCCACCCTGACACCCCATACCCCTGTCCCCACAGTGGCCCTCAACTTCCAGACGCCGGGCTACGAGATGGACCTGAACGCCGGGCGCTTTCTAGGCAATGGGCGCTGTGGCTACGTGCTGAAGCCCCCCTGCCTGCGCAGCCCCCCCGGAGAGGGGACCCGCCACCTGGCGCTGCACGTCAGGGTGAGGGCACCCCGCTCCCCCTGGCCCCACGCGCGGGTGGGTGCCACCCACGTCGCTGCTGGGTGACATCCATGACATTCCCATGCCTGGCCAGATGCCACCTACAGCCCTTTTCCCAGGTGACACCAACCCCACACCCAACCAGGTGTCACCCACATCCCTCTGGGTGACATCAACAGCATGTCCAGCCAGCTGCCACCCACATCCCTTCTGGGTGATGCCAACCCCATGTCCAGCCAGCTGCCACCCACGTCCCTTCTGGGTGACACCAACCCCATGTTCAGCCAGGTCCCACCCACATCCGTTCTGGGTGACACCGACCCCATGTCCAGACAGGTGCCACTCGCACACCTTCTCCTGGGTGACACCAACCCGACACCAACCTGGGTGCCACCAACCTCTCTTCTCCTGGGGACACTGACCCTGTCCTCACATCTGTTTGGGTACCATCCATGTCCCTACTCCTGGGTGACACTGACCCCATCCCCCTGCCTGGCCAAGTGTCCCTTCTCCTGGGAACACCAACCCTGTCCCTGCACCCAGCCATGTGCCACCCACATCCCTTCTCCTGGGTGGTACCAATGCTGTCCCTGCACCCAGCCATGTGCCACCCATGTCCCTTCTCCTGGGTGGTACCAATGCTGTCCCTGCACCCAGCCATGTGCCACCCATGTCCCTTCTCCTGGGTGACACCAACCCTGTCCCCAAACCCAGCTGGTATCAGCCATGTTACTTCTCCCTCCTCCCCACCCCGTCCCCACTCCCAGCTGAGTGCCACCCACATCCCTTCTCCTGGGAGCACCAACCCTGTCCCTGCACCCAGCCATGTGCCACCCACATCCCTTCTCCTGGGGTCCGCCACCCTGCGGTGCCCCATGCCGCCAGCCCCCAGCACCCTCTGCCCCCAGGTGATCACGGCGCAGCAGCTGCCCAAGCTGAACAGGGAGAAGGGGAGCTCCATCGTGGACCCCTTCGTGCGGGTGGAGATCCACGGGGTCCCGGCCGACTGCAGCAAGCAGCAGACCCACCACAAGCTCAACAATGGTGAGTGTCCGCTGGGCCACCATGGCCTGGCCACCGGTCCCCAGGGACACCCCAGGGCACCTGGTCCCCAGGATACCCCAGGGCACCCAGTCCTCAGGGGCATCCCGATGCCCAGGGGCACCCCAGGGCACCCAATCCCTGGGGACACCCCAGGGCAGCTGGATCCCTGGGAAACCCCAGGGTACCCTGATCCCCAAGGCACGCCAGGGCACCCGGTCCCTAGGGGCACCTCAGGGCACCTGGTCCCCAGGGGCACCCTGGGGCACACTGACCCCCGGGGCACCTCAGGGCACCCTAATCCCCAGGGACACCATAGGGCACCCTGATCCTCAGGGACACCCCAAGGCACCCGGATCCCCAGGGCACCCTGACCCCCCAGGGGTGGCAGAGCCCTCGGGCACCCAATACCCCGGGCACCCACTGCCCCCTGCACTCCAACCACCGCCCCCAGTTGAGCCGGTGCCCAGGACATCCCAGTCCCCCCAGTGCACCCCAGTCCCTCAGTGCCCCGTCCCCAGCACAGCCTGATCCCCGCTAGTGGCAGGGCCCCAGCACGTCCCAGTTCTCCCCAGTGCTGCTCCCTCCTGCCCTCCCGTATACCCAGCCCAAGCCCTGTGTGACCCTCATTCCCCCAGTATACCCAGCCCGGCCCCAGTATCACCCCCATTCCCCCAGTATACCCCATCTTGACCCAGTATGATCTCCATTCCCCCTGTATACCACAGCCTGGCCCCAGTATGATCCCTGTTTCCCCAGTACCCCATCACAGTCCCAGAATGACCCCCGTTCATAGCCCATAGCCCAGCCCAGCCCCAGCGTCACCCCCGTTCCCCCCCCACCCCACCCCACTCCCCGAGCCTGCCCCCCACGTAC